TGAAAGTGCTCAACTGCAAAGTACCCTTGCTTGTCCTTCAGTGGAAAAGCATTACAAAGCCTCTTCAACACGTACTCTGTCAAAGGGGCAGTGAGGAACCAAATAAAAGAACTTTAAACTTCAACCAATTACAGTATCCTTAGGCCTTTCCCGAGTGTGTGTGCTTTATTTCCATCCCTTGCCATCAGAAGTTATTTAAAAACAAGAGTCTGCATTTCAAAGGCCACCCTTCTGGTGCCCATGAATGGTCTGCTTTGGAAGCTGTGTTTTAAAAAGAGAGACACATCTTGATTTTTTCAAGATTTGCTGATGAAAAGTTTGATAATGTTAGGAGATACCCCGACTAGAGAGTCTGAATTCAGCATGGCTCACTTCAACAGATTACAGAACTGCTTAAACAACAGCCATTTAAATTGCCTCATTAACAGGTGTTGTGATTTATAGTGTAAACTTAAACATCAAATACAAACAGCCTTTGGGGGATGTTCAGAAGACAAAAATCATGCCCAAGAGGCTCTTCTCATCCCTTTCTTCATGACAGGCAATTACTTGTACTGCTGCCTACTATAATACATGAGGCTCTAGTACCCACATTGTTCAAGCTCTGCACACACAGTATTCCCTTCTTACCAAAGAGCTGACATTAACTGCTGCCCCTCTGAAGACCTCAGATCAAAATTCTGGAGCAGGATAAATATGAAACGCAATAAATGAATAATTTGTGAGAGTGTGTGTTCATATATATTTATGTCTAAATACATATAATACATTATATATGTGTGTGTGCATGTGTGTACGTGTCTTTACAGAAAATTCAAAGTATTCACTTAAACAGCCCAACTGAACTGAGTTTCAGAGGTGCTTCCCAAGGAAGAAAGGGCCAGGCAGATGAATGACTGCCCCCACACAAGCTCATCAGGTGGATGCTCATAAGATCCCTCTTTATACAGAATTCCTACAAATTCCATACAACATGGGTCTGGCCTCAGAAGACCCACTATGAAGGTCATAAAGATGAACAGATACATAACCTGTAAGAACCGCCAAAATGGAAAAAGAGGATTGATTCTTAATGAAAAGTTAGGAGATGTAAAGAGCCAAAGAATACGCCAGCTTATTCTAAAAATAGGAAGGAATTTACTTGTTTGCCTCTTTCCTTCCCAGAAGCCAAGCCATACGTTTAGGGGAAAGGCTACAGAGATTTCAGAGATTTAATTTTCCACAAGCACAGGCCATAAATTAAAATACAGCAATCCAATCACATTAATAGTGCAAGGAAAAGCTAAGTGGTTGCTTTGGTCTTTTCCTTCACAAACTTGTGTCAAGCTCAGTGACTTCAAAGAGATTTCCATTTCATTTCTACAAATGAGGGGAAGAGACAGACAGGGAGTCTCTGCCATCCTCTGATGCCTGAAGAAAACAGAAGAAAAACATGCCTGTATCTCATTCTCCTAATGATTTTAGCTGCAAAAGGAATCCCATGGTCGGCAGACGACCCTCAGGGCAAGGGCTTGAGGTCTGTCACAGTGCATAAGGCTCCTCCAAACCCACTCCATTATCTTCATTATTGTGCACCAGGAATAAAAGGGGACTGACTCCTCTTCTGAAGCTCAAGTTAGAAAGGACAGAATGTTTCATGTAAAATAACATTGTGTGACTTCAGTAATAGGTTTATGCCTTTGGGGGCCTAATACTAAAGCTGCGTGTAAGGATTTTCCACAGAATTTGAGAGAAGAAGAATGAGCACTGTGTTAGTAATGAGTAAAACTCAGTGAGTTTTAGATCCACTGGAACACTTCTGTCTCTGTGTCAGCACGACTCATTGTCAATCACACACTTCCATCCAGCAGCAGGAAAATGGCAAAATTAGGGGGAAAAGAAAAGGAGCAAGGAGCTTTGGAGCTAAGCATAAACCCCTATAAAAACACCCCCCAATGCCCCAAACTCATATCCAGGGAGGAAAAGGCAGTGCTGAGCTTCTGGAAGAGCAGGCAGCGTGGGTTCCTGCAGGGCACATTAACCAGGGTACATACACAACAAATCTACATGAAAACCATTTAGGTGAAGAGTGATGCTCCCTTACCAGCTCCTGTGTGAGTGCAGGGAAGTGCTCACACATGTGCATTGCTGCACTCTGAGCAGCATGTTTCAAATGTAAAGATTCTGGTCCTTTACTGACAAAGCTTACTAATTTTTACTTTCATTTTCTAACAAACATAATTGAAGAAAACCGTTTCCCTTACATCCATGAAGTTTCCTAGAAAGAGTCCAAGCTGTTATCACTATTTTGGAATATCTCCCTGTCCTTAAAGCCTGTTTCAGAAAAGAGAAGCCCTTTCCCTGACTGCTATGGGGTTTGAATTGAGACCTCAAGTTGTCTTCTTTTCTGATTTTGAGGAAAACAGGCCATTTCAGAGAATGCTTGAAAAGCACGTTTCCCACAGCAATTCAGAGGACTACTTCAAACAATAAAAAGAGAGCAAACACAGCCCATTGTACAAGTTAAATAATATATAAACTTTTGAGTACATAGAGAAATGGGAATCTGGCTCGTATCTGGTCCTTGAAAGATTCACAGGAAATTGATTTAATTAAACCTCAACTACTGGTGCAAATGTTTCCCTTTCTTCCCAAAGGGAAATAAAGTATTATATTATTCTTGTTGACATAATGCAGCAAAGCTTAACCAAGATTCTTGATCTTCATCCCACAAAGCTTTACAAACTAGCAAGACTAAAAATCATTACTGAAATATGCATTTATCACAAATCGCTGCATTTTTACCTACATGCACTATCAAAGATTCCCACTTGTAACACCTCATTCACAGGGAAATTCATTAATATGCTAATTACCTGACTAGCAACCAGTGATGACTGACAATTTTACTTTAGCACTACGTGAAGAAGACATGACAATAATTTTCTGCTGGAGTTCAAACAGAGAAGACACTGTGCTGCATCAGTATATAACTCATTTAGGGAAAAGACTCATATTTGTAGAGGACCTCTAAGAACAGTCTAGCCATCTGCACCCAGAAATATATATTTTTAATTAGCCACTCTAAAAACAACCATGTTGGCTGAAGGGAAGGGGGAGGGAGGCTTGTCAAAATGATGTATTTGTCCCTCACCACCTTTCAATGCTCTTATGCAAGTCTAATTTTCTTCCTAGCCACCTCACCTCTCTGGCCTCCTTTTGTTTCATGTCCCATTTCCCATTCTCTTCTAACTTCTGAACTTTTGTTAGTTCGCTTTTAAGGAGAAAGGGAAAAAAAGCTCAACTCCTTCCTATTCATTTTTTCCTGGATGGGGAGTAAGCAGAGACATGAATATGGCACCCTCATAATGATTTAACTAGGGCTTAATGAAATTTTCATCACAACCTGCTGTTCAATTTAATGGCCTTTGAAAGACAATAGAACAATGGCTAGAGGGAAGAAAAGATTTTTTGTTGCACGCATTTGCAAAGCCCAACATTCAGTTGCTCCCCCTCCTCTCTCTCCCAATCTCTTCACAAAGCTGTAGATCTTTTGTTTGTACTGTATATTTTCATTTTAGCAGAGCTGAGATAATGCACAAGCTCTGTAACCATTCTCATGTCTATCTGTGGCCTTTCCTTAATGGAGTCTGTGCAGCTTGTACAACCTCATACCCAGCAGAGCATTTACACACTGCCCAGAGCTCCTTGTTCTCTCCTCTCCCCGATAAAAGCCTGGTCTCCTTCCCACCCATTCCCCCCACAATCTCTTCCATCCAAAGGCACAAGGTATGCTATGGCATTGCATCAACCTAAGTACAAAAATTATGTTGTAAGGAATATTAAAGAAATGCTCAGGCAAAGAATTTCTTTCCCAGCAGAGCCTTAGTGCATGCTCCAGTCAAGAAATGCCTAATGTACAATCCTGTCACGCTCCTGTATGTGCCAACATGTTTGTGTCCATACTTCCATTCCAGTATGCAGGTTCTCCTGAAATGTTCTTGCAGGTGCTGTCAGTTCATGCTTCAGCACTGAGGTGGGCCCTGAGAGCCCTGCTTTTAAACATTTGGAATAGATTTCTCTAACAGGACAGGTGAGTGGAAATGAAATTGGAGTCTCCTTGCTGTGCCCTAGGAAACAAGGCTCAGTATGCTCCCAACAACTGCTGAAGATGCAGCTGGAAATACACATGGAGACAGCTACAGAGAGCACAACGAGAGCTTCACCTTCCAGCCAGGGCTTGGACTCTGCCCCAAACAGGCCAAAACTCAAAATCCTCATCTTTGGTCTTTGCCCCAGCCCACAGAGCACAAGTCCTGTCACCACCAGCTGGAGAGAGGGTCTCAAAAAGACCCTCAAAACACCTGTTCTCCAGAAAGGACACCTAGGAGCCACAGGTGAGACTTGCTGGCCACACGTAATGCAGGGAACACCTGCAATCCCTGCCTGTACAGCACCTGCACTGCACACGAACAGACCACGACGTGTCCCACACAAAAGCTTCCACAAACTCCCAGTTTACCTTCTTACCTTTCAAACAACGACCTGCCCACTGGATCATTTCACAAGAACACTGACATTGATGACAAACAATAAAATATTGCTAATATTGGTGATAAATAGATAAATAACTCTTTTAATTCTAGAAATGGGGAGAGGGGAGCAGTGGTGTAAAAGCCTCAAGGTGAATAAAATTACCTTACTGCAGTAACTTTAGAAACTAGTGGTGTAAAAACCCCCAGGTGATTAAAATTAGCTTACTGCAGGCACATTGAGGAGGTTGCCACTGCAACAAAAAGACCACTAGGCCCTCTTTTTTGGGAAAAGCTAAAAACGTTAGCTGCGATGGGACACTGATAAAATTCACCCCTAATGCAGAAAAGAACTGCAAGATCTTTAATTCTGCTGGCAAGGAAAAGCAAACAGAGCAGAAAACGGCACGATTAAAAAGTATACGTATCCAAAGGATCTGGAGAAAAGAAAAGAACACAGAAAATTTTGGCCAGCTTCCCAGGCCTTACCTTCTGGCTCGTTTTTGATGAGCTCTTCCATTTTCCTCTGCTTCAGGGTGTCCACGACATCTGCCAGGCTCCCCTTGCGCCGCTCCGGGGTGCCCAGGGCGGCGCTGGACAAGGACTCCCCGCTCTGGCGCCCACCTTCTTCTGCCTTCAGGGGTGAGGTAGATGAGTTGTGCGGGGCAAACGAAGACATCACTTTATTGCCATCAACTTCCTGAAAGGGGAGAAAAACAAGATGAAACGTTCCTTGCTTTTCTTGAAGAAAGGGGTGGGGGGGATAAAAATCGACGGAAAGAAAGGAAGAACAATCCTTTGTTCTTTGAGTTCATTGCTATTTGTTCTTCTGTTGAAACCTTTAAAAAAGGCAAGCAATGTTTCAAAAACACCCAGAACAAAGCCTATCCATAAAGCATAAACCAAGATTACAGGCTGGAGTGAACAAAGATCAGCTTGCAAGAGAGAAACATAAAATACAGTTTTTCCCTAATTGAGAAGAAGTGTTGTTCTCACAGGTTTCCTAATAACAATGGTATTGATTACCTGTAATTGTTTGTTCTTTTACAGCTCTCTTTCTAAAAAAACCTTCAATTTTTACAAGGACCATTAATTTCTTGACTTTATAAAGTACTTAATGCCTTGATTGGCTAGTTGTTTTAAGAAATAAAATAGCAACTAAACATTAAATGTCCGTCACCATGTGACATATTTTTTATTCACAGTTTAAGCAGCTCTCCCATCTATAAAGAATGAAGCAATTGCTTTCTGTTTTCTAATTCTATTCTCTTCTGTCTTAAACCTCCATTTCTTGCAGAAACAGTATTTTTCACTAAGGTGGTCCTAATGACTCTCCCTGGCAGCACAATGGCAGAACTCTGTGACTTGCTGGAACGTGCACACAACCCTCCTCACGTGAGAGTCCACACAGGTCTACTCATTAATTTTAATGGAAAGCAAAACTGGCTCCAGCATCTTCAAACCTGCCTTCATTAACGCAAGAGCCTTCTCCTCCACATCTCCTCCAACCCAAAGCAACGTTCTGTGCACAGATTCCTTCTCCTTTCATGTCTGTTGTACCCTAGCCTCCTGTGCACATCTCCCAAAGCCATTCTTCCCTCTGCTAACATATGCCATCTGTACCTGAAAAACTTAGGTCAACGTCTCCAAACAAAGAGTGCAGCAGAGTAATACACAGCACAAAATGTAACTCTGTAAACATCCATGGTTTTTATTTTCATGTGATTTTCCAGGGTTTTTTTCCCCCCACTATTCTATTTTTGTACTCTAGCTGTTGAATGAATATTGTTTTTTAAATAAGCCACTGGATCTTCTTGTTATATGTGTTACAGACTTGGCTGAAAAAGTCTTAATTTTTTGATTGGTTTCATTTTTGCACTTCATTTCAGAGGGTATAAAGGTGCTACATAAGTCTATAAATATGCACACTGTGTTTAGTGATTTCTGTTATAATTTTACATTTTTTGAGTAATTTTGATGTCTGCTCTAATAAATCACAGTATTTCAGAAAAAAACCCCACTTTTATGAAACAACATAACTTGCTACAAATTATTTTAATAAAATCTGAGTAAAGCTACATGGAAAACATGCAATAAAGAAAATATTTGTTTTCACAGGCTACTTTGTTGTGGCAAAAAGATACCCTATGGTTAAGAAAACTTTTAATGCAAACAGTTTTGAGCAGCTTGAACGTGTTATACTAGCGAATAAATTCCCTAACAGAATCGGATTTAACTGAGATTACAATCTGGGCCATCATATGCCCCAAAAACCAAACCCAGTGATGTTAATGAGAGACTTTCTACTGACGTCAATGAGCTTTTGACCAAGCCCTAAAAAATTTTCCAACTCCAATCAACAGAAAAGCTCCATTTTCTTTTCCTTCCAATTCCCTCCATTTTTGTTCTGCACTTGAAAAATTCCTAGTTGCTAACACCGGACTCCAAAACTTAGTTGAAGCCAAATGCAATTTTTTTTTCACATACAGACTTGAGTAAACTGATTTTTTAACACCAACCTAAACAAGCAAAATTGTTAACTTCAGCATCATTTCAGATTTTATCTAAAATTCAAAACCATTATCACCAAGTGGCAAATTTTTTTTCCTACACACAAGGCTAAAAGAGGAAATATCTTGAAAGCTGCTTTCTTATTCACACTTTGAGACAGATAAGCCAAATATCATCATCCTTAGTTACAGTTCTTAAATCTACCTATGCCACCAGGCATGTACAGAACAGCACATTTCTTCATTTTACCAGGAACTAGTTTCTTGTTTTAATCCAAAGCAGGTCCCAAAACTCCTGTTTTTGTGTGTCACATATTGGTGACAAAGTATTTGCAAAAGTAAACCTCGGGTATCACCACTGCTGTCTCCATACACATTTGGGGTACATGCAAGTGGGGTTTTATATCTGCAAATATATGCTGAGTATAAAACCAGTTTGTCATAAGACAAGAAGCACAAGAACACAAGGATTGAATGATTATGTAAAGTAATATAAGATGGTTTTCAAAATCACAAATTGCTTGGCTTGCAAATGAAACTCACAAGTATTTTTAAAACTCTGCCTTGCTTTCTGGGGAAAAGGAATTGTGAGGGGGACAGTGCAGTAGTCAGTGAACAAAGCATCACGAAGGGACTCTGAATACTCAGTTCCTTGTTCTTTCAAAACTGTGAAGCCACAGAAAATATCACTTTTTCCCCTGCATTTCAGCTTCCTACCTGTAAAACAGGCACAAGTAATCTCTTATACTATAAAGGTCTTGGGATGATAAATTCATTAATAACAGATACCCTCCTACTACGATGTTGGCTAAAAGCATTTATAATACCACAGTTAGAAAGACTTCACAGCTGGCTTAGAAAGGAAAGTGTTCTACACAGATTTTTTTTTTTTTAAAGTTAAATTAGATACTAAAATATACAATCAAGAAGCCATTCCCCTGCAAAAGTTTCTTTAGAGCTCTTGGTTAGGTGTGCATGTATGCAGTGTTTGCATATCACATACATGGCTATTTATACACTTGTGGGATTTAAGCCTCAATCAAAACACATATACAGTAGGGAAACAGCTGCAATCACATCTCAGTGGGCTAAATTACAGTACACCAGTGAATTATTCATTCAGAAAGATCTGCAGCAATCACACATCCACTGCGTGATTTGCAATCCAAGAGGAATCCTCTCCTCCCTGTGCTGGAGGAGAGCTCACCCCAGCTTCTGCTGCTGAGGACACTCCAGCATGAATCCTCCAGACCCTGCTGCCCCACAAGCCCAGATCCTTTCATTCTGCCATTGACCACAACAAAACGTGCAACAGTTACCTTGGCTTTCACTTCATGTCCCTCTCTTTTATTTTGTTCTTCTTTATGCCATTACTTGAAGACGTGAAAAAGCTCTCAATGGGTCTGGATTTTTACTACTAGCACATAAAAAGAAAGGACATTTCCACCACATAAAACCTGCTCTTGTCAATGGCTGCATGAAGCCAAAAAACTTGGAGTAAAGAAAATCCTCTGATACTGCACACAGAAGTTTAACTGTCTCCCTGAAAACACTCAGGGAAATCCTTAATGGCAAGAAAGATATATCAGCAACAGTTTAAAATCAATCCCCTGAGAAGAAGTTCCCTCCCAACAAGTGGGCTTTAGCAGGTTGCTTTTTTAACAGGACAAATTGACATTACTTTCTCCAGTTTCACTGAGAGAAAAGCAACAGCACTGTAAGGTGGTATTAAGAAACATCAATATCTACCACTGACGTTGTACAATTAAATCCATCGAGCCACACACAGCAGCCATCTCTCAGCCAGCAGAGCAGTGGACAAGCACTTTTCCTGGAGAGCAGCCTCTCCCAGCTGCCTAACCATTTCACCTGTTCAAGTTTGATTACATTCCAGCCTCTGGCACTGCTAATCCCGGTGGCAGCTCCACGCAGGCTGCGCGGGGACGGGGCTGCGCTGCTGCCCTGCCCTGCCAGCGGCTCTGCTGGCCCAGCATCTCCCCAGCCCTGGGCTGGATGGTACTCACCCAACACCTGAGGCTGCTGCTTGCTCTCCCCCTTCGGAAAGGCAGACAAGGACCTGCACAGATCTTGCTGAAGCAAACACTCCAGCCCTTTCTCTCCCTCCCAAGCAACGGCAACACAAAAGGGACCGGCCCACGTTTCGTGTCTTCTGCTTCTGCTCCAAGCTAGAATCCACAGGAAGACCTGCTCCTTTACAAGAAAGTTGCCTCGATATTGCCAAACAGCTTTCCACCTATGGAGGAAATACCTCTTCCAAGGTTTAATGATAAAACAGGCTTCTGCCCTTTCAGGATGAGGTCAATAATCTTCCTTTGTTAATCTTGGGCAAGCTTTACTTAATCTAGCCCCCTTGTCACCTTTGTGATTGACAGGAAAAGTCATGTCACTGGACAATGGACTTGTCCTCACTGAGCAATATCTTTTTTAAAGGTTACACAATGTTACCCTTGCTCTCATAAAAAGTGCAAACATTGTGCTGTTAAAAGAAACTCTTCATTCCAGCTGTATCTTTCAAATTGTCTCCCTCTGTTTCCAGGGTCCAAGGGAGGCACATTTCAGTTCCACAGGGGAACATTTAAAGGCTTAATGAAAAGAAACAGGTTGTACTCGGTGAGATTTCCAAAATATCTCTTAGTGCTCTAAATAGATCTCATCTTCTCCTTCCTCATCTAGAGATGCACATTATTCCTGTCTGCAATTAAACTCAGACACTCTGCTTCTGTGACATTAAAATTTTGTCCCAAACCAACCAAGAATCGAAGCAGAAGAAAACTGAGAACTAAGTCTGAAACTGTTAATTACCACCATATGGTATGCATGAAGTCTGCATCTGCAGGGGGAAAAAAAAAAAAAGTATCATGAGAATCAAGCTGCTGGTTTTGCAGCCAAAAACACCTGGAATAAAATCCTTGGGTCTTTAAAACAAGCACAGATATTGTCTGATTTTAAGAAGCCTGTGATCCTAAAAGCAACCAAAAAGGTTCTTTTATCAAAGCTGGAATTTTGCCCATGTTTCACTCTTTCAGAATGTGTAAAGAAGACCAAAGGCAGGTTTTTTTCTCTGCCTTCTACATTAGACATGTAGGCCTATCTATTTTATAGTCTCCATAGTGACCAGGAAGCTGATAACAGTATGACATAAGAGATAATCAGAAAACAGAATACTTCA